ATTCCGGCTTCTTTCAAGAAACTGTATCTCATGATACAACCTTGAATTGTTTATTCATTGAAATAGGATAGGTGCCATCTGTAGTCCCATGTATTGTGAATTACAATATATTACAACACATTAATTATTGGGGGTTGGACTTGAAGATCCTTTCCAACTCTGATATTCTATGTTCTATGAATTGTGATACTTTTCAATTCTTCTGCATTTTCATAGATGATCACTAGATCAACTGAATTGAAGTTATGTCCATAAAGCTATTCCTTTACTGAACTCTTAAGAATACAAGCAGTGTCATTCTCAATATATTGCAACTTATCTTAGTCCTGTTCCCTACAGAACTTACTTACCTGGCTTTGGGAAGTTAACGAAGATATTTTCCCATTGGCATGGGAAAAGTGGATAAGCAAGAGTTATGCTTCTGGTGTAGTTTATTACCATCACAACTAAAGCAATACTAACCTTATCTTCAATAAATTGATCTTATCTTTTGAAGTAATCTAAGTTAATGATCATAATTATAGCTTATCAAAATGAGTTTCACAGTTTTATTATCCAGTGTAACAAAGAGATTTCCTTTCATTTTTCCCTGACTTTACCACTGTTGTTTACCTTTTTCTTACATTTTAGCATGATGAAGAGTAAATACATTTTCTTAATTTTTTCATTTGTTACATATGTATTATTTTCCTGTGACACCGCTGTTTAATTTTCAGAGCATAGCCATCATAGATATTATATCATGATCTCTACCACATCATGTATAAGATTTATCAAAATTATTTTATTGTTTATATATATATATATATATTGTCCTTCACTCAAGAATATCAAGAATTACAAATTAGATGCAACCCTAAAAAATCAGCATATTTTTTTTTTTAATTGCACTGTTTCTTCTTCTTTCTCTTCCTCCTCCTCTTATTCCTTCTCCTCCTCCCTTTAAAAGCTACACATATTGGGGCTGAATGTCTACTTGACTTTTCATTAGTTTCAAGCATGTAAATCAGGTTGTTTATAGGCTTGCTCTACCAGGTCTGCAGATCTACAAAGTGTATGGATTTTTAATCTTTCAGTCAGTTCTCTGTTCCTTTGGACCCATAGCAAATGCAAATAAAAGGATCAGTTACATATTATATTTGATCACATGGTATCTCTTCCATGGTTGTCCATTCCCTTAGTAAAGTCTTTTGGAGGTAAGTCTCAAAAAATATTAGCTGAAGCAAGTTCTCCAGAAACCAAATCTTTCCCACATCCTTCCCTGCAGTTCCTCTTTAAGAGGTGTCAGCATGGCTGAAAGAATGAAGTGGCTCCACATTGTTTGCCTGAACTATTATGTGCTTAACATTTCCATGACAAAAGTGCCACTCGACTTCTCCCCGATTAATGCAGCTTGAGGGCTCTTGTCCTCCTTTAATAAAACGTTGTTGAAATCATTTATTTAGAGTCCCTGGTTACTACTGGGAGAATGACCATCTTTGTGCCAAAATATAGTGTATACAGTTCACTATTTTGTAGTAGATCATTCCATTATTTGAGAAATTGATTAAATGGATGCCTTAGAAAGTATTTATGCTAATACTGCATTACTTTTGTCAGTGTGAGGCTTTTCAACTGTCTGCTCCATCCAATACCTCAAGTAAAATACAGTAGGCCTACATTCACATATGCAACCGTTTCATCTTTTCTTCTAAGCCTATGTTAGGTTTTATGTTAACTTCTTCTCTTCTGTGGTATATATACATACATAGACTTATTTTATGCTATTTGCTTCTTTGTGATTTACCTGATCCTGTATTCCGCTATAGGGACCAGACATATTGAAATGTTCTGTCTATCCAGCATTCCCCTTTATTGAATAAAGTATGGAATAAAATGTTGCGCTAACTCAACTAAATCAAATGAACACACATACACACACACACACACACACAAACATAATTATAAAAGACTTCTTGAAGCCCATTTTTGAAATTTCCCCAGCTTTGTTACCAGATTGCTGAACATCAGAATGCAATTAAATTTAGGCCTTTATTTAATCCCAAATTCCCAATTAAGGCAGTTTATGTTGTTTGAATGAAAGAAATTAATGATAGTGTAAAATGAATACACTCATATTTTCGTCAGAGCTATTACGTATTATTTCTAGTAGAAAACTTCTAGATGCAAATGTGCAAATATACCATATTTGCATCTAAAATGGGTAATATTTTTAGCATTCAGAGAACATAAGAATTAGGATACTCAGTTTCACATAAAGTACAAAGGAATCAGAATTTTAAAAACTGTAATTCTAGGGAAGCATCAAATCCAGTTTCAAGTTACCTATATACTATTATCTACATATAATACAAAGATGATTTGAAATACAAAATTTGTTTTTCATTCCACATTGTATGGGATTTTGAAAGAAATAATCTTCTCCATTTTTTAAGTCTTACTCTAAGGTCTCCGATTATTGTCAGCTGCCAAGAGTCATGAAGAACTAGGGGCATGTAAGTTTAATAAATTATTATTATTAATCTCGCAACTCAGAAATGAATTGGTTAAGAGAGTTTGCTTTACTTTTCAGCCATTTTGTTTGCACATTTATTTTCAGGTGATCCATGCTTGCCCACGTACACTTTTATATATTGTTAAAAATAAACAGAGACCTTATGTTATATCCATTGTGCTTGTGTACAAAAGCCTCACAGTGCTCTTGGGTGATCAGTGAAGCTTGAATCTGCCTCTATTTACTGTATGGTCACTGTCAGTTCAATGAACTGCCTTCTTATTCTCCACCATTGTCTCACACTCCCTTAAACATTTGTCACTGAAGTGCCTCCAAAGACAAATAAACTGTCACTGAGAATTCAAATCTGGTAACTGGGAAGAAAAGGGGCACAAGGGTATCCAGCGGATTATTTTACATGAAATGGGGAGGGGGGAGTAATAAGAGAGACAGTGGGAGGGAGGAAGCATTATTTGCCCCCACTCCTTTGGTCAGGGTGGGTCAAAGCTTGTAAATATTTCAGAAATCTTGTAAACATTAAAGTCAGTGTTGTATTTGTTTCTCAAGTATCCTTTGTGGCACATCCTATTTTGGGCAAATCTCACCTGCTGGATAGGATAATGTTGAATTGTGGTTGCTCAAGATAATAAAACTCTTACAAATTAACTTATGGAAATTGAATGGGTTGAGAGAAATGGAAGCAAATCTTCAGTAGCTAGGTGGAGGTTTATTTTCTTATTATTCTTCCCCTACCCATTGCTATTTTTATTTATTATCAGTATTATAGTCTTCATCTATAAATGTCTCAAAGAAACTAACAAGGAAATTGACTGTGATAGATATCAACATCTATAGAATGAGCATCTCATCCATTTGATGAGCTCCAGATGTGCTAGACTTCACAATTACTAATTCTCAGCCATTAGAATCAGCCATGCAGACTGAAAATTGTGGAGTGACATCCAATACATCTGGAAGGCACGAGGTTGATACTGAGAATTTTGGGGTGAAGACATTCAATACATCAATTAGGATGCTTTTTTCTCTATGAAGCTCAACTCCGGTTGGTCTTTATTAAAAAAATTGCAAAGAATACATTTAGAATCCTCATTCCAGATGCCATGTAAACATAGGCATCTACTTTTGTCAAGAATTTCTCAAATTAGGATTTACAAGGAATTTCTAGTTTCTGTACCAGGAAATAATTCTGTTCCCCAATGTATTTTTCTCTTTAGGGAAAATCTATGACCGAAGCTTCTTCCCCAAGAGTATAAGGAATGGGTAGCTATTACCTCAGATCAAACATCAGTTGACTTTAAAATATCTCATTTCCTGTGATTGAATTAAGAAAAGAATTTAAGCTCATCCTGAAGACTAGAAATTCAGTACATGTAAGTGGAACTTTTTATTTTAATGTCAGGTTCAATAAACTAATGAAAACAGCAATATTCTTTAAAAAAATGATGTAGTGCATTGTGGTGGAAATACTAAATTTACAATTTTGTTAATTGCTTCTAACAACTCTTAGGTCTGATGGTTTTTACACACCAAAAAATGTTATCTAAGAAAACATAGCAGTTCTTGCTGATCTTTCTTCCTCAGCAGTCAAGGTTTATTTGTTGCAGCTTTTAATCTTCTGACTTGTCTTCCAATCACAGCATTGAAAAAGAAGTTTTAAATAAACAGCAGGGATACAAGATAAATAAACTTTTTTTTAAGCAAGTGCCTAGCTTGGCACAGTTCAAACTCAATCCCCCGAGGACCAAGCTCTCTCTTTTGTGTTAATGTTTAAAAGATTTTCAAATGCTGAGAGTTTATTCTTACTGCAAACATTTCTATTTACAAGGTCAAGTGTATCAGCACTCGAGACAGCTTAAGAGCGTAATTATTTATCTAAGGGTGTTTGAGTGTAGATCAGTAGCTCTGGCAGAAAACCAGCCTTCAGAGGGCTGCAAAACAACTGCTAAGGCCAGTGTAAGACACAGGCTTGTCATTGTTGGTCACACATGGTTCATTATATCTGCTCTCTTCTGCATGAAAGGAAGATGAGCTGGTTTGCAAAGTGGCTCCAATTCAGCAATCATTATTCTAAATGTGTTACTCTTTACATACTTGACTATGGGTTTTGTAGTTATATACAAACAAGCCATCAACAAAATTTTTGTATTTCAGTGAAAAAATTGGGACACAGCATTGTTTCAGTGGAAATGCAAAATGCATAACTGGCATAGCTGTCTCCAATCATACACCAACTTGTTGCCATGCTAACATAATTCAATCTGTATCTACTATCTTTGTTCAAAGGAAATATTTTTTGAAGGGAAGCAATTACCAACTTACTTAAGATATAGCTGGCCAGTTCTCCAATTGCTCAGAGGAATACCACTGAATCCCATGAATTTATTTCATAGCAAGTAATTTGAAGAACAAAATCTATACCCAACTATTTCCATTTATATTCCACTCTGTTCCTATTTGGAATGGTTTAAAAACAACTTCACCATAATTCTTCTTTAAAAATCTCTCTTTACTAATTTACACATAAAAATACACACTCAATAGATATTTAAACATAGGGCCTTTTCACACATTCTATAAAAATACAAAGTTTAAGAAAGTCCAGAGAAACATGTATACAATTCTACAAAGTTCATAAATCCCTCAAATAATACAAAATTTAAATTCAGATCTATTTGAAAAAACTCTGTACATTATTTCATTTAGGGAATTACTGTTGTTTGCATTCCTTAACATACAAAATTATATCTGCCTCTTTGCAATAAAAGAACAACAGATGTATTATTTTTTGCAGATGGTGTACGTTTAAAACTTTTAATTTTTTTAAAAATAAATTATTCCCAAAGTATACCATTTATAAAATTCTATGTACAAGTAACAACAGCTGGTAACAAAACCAGTTTTAAATACATTTTATATAAAATTTACCAGAGGTCAGCCCCCTGATAGGATTAGAGGCAATATAACTTCTCAGGATATTTTTACATATTGAGTTTAAAAAGTGTTTTTTTGAAGATGGCAGTGCAGAGCTCTTTAGAGACAAAGGTTGCATTGTTCAACAGCCAACAGTTCAGCGTTTTTTTTTCCTCCTAGGCTGAGGCAAGAGAGATTTGCTGGTGGACTTATGTATTGCAATTCTAACTGATGCAAAAATCAATACAAACCCTGAACAGGAAAAGGAACCATTACTGTAGGAAAAACAATGAATTTACATATCATCCCAGACATCTAGAATGAACTTGTGTATCATCACAGGGATGTAGGAAATTTATGTATGTCTTTACTACTCCCCATAAAACCTGGAAGCTAATTAAAGCTAATTATGCATCAAGAATGTAAAACTGAAGTATGTGCAATCATCACCACGGATAACAAATACATGCCAGTATACTTCATTCTGCAAAAAAAGTCCTAAACTTACTATATATGAATCTTCAGAGTAACTCTGAAACCTCTTCCCTCTATGCCTGCACACCTATCCAATTAAAAAGAATCAAAACTGCATCTTCAGTCAAGCATAATTATGAATTCTGTGGATGTTAACTGGATGGTAGGAGTCACTTGTTGAATGGTTATGCAAAGTAACACTTTTGGAAGCATTGCAGGGAAACCTTCACAACTTCACTGAGGACAGCTTGGAAAAATAGCAGTCATTGGTACATTTATTGTTTTCAAGTTGACTGTAACCATGAGACAATCTGCTTCTTTAAAGTCGTTTGCCAAATGGCAATAATTTGCATAGTGCACATGTACAGGTATGTCATGCATACTGTATATTTCCTAGTTGGATGCATACAGGATTGAGAAAAAGTCCAGCTGTATGTAATTGGGCAGCTGCAAGTGGTGATGTCTGTGCACACAGCAAAATAAACACTGCACAATCTACACCCCTGACATGCATAGTCAAGACATTTCTTACGATCTCATAAAATAACTAATGTGCAATATATGTAAAACCTACAGGTGAATTCCAAAGCATATTCATTTTGAACATCAACTGGAAACCCTTCTAAAAGAAAAGTGTCAACAAAGGAAGGGTCCAGTAACAAACTCCACAGCTTTTTAATTGTACTAGATTCCCTTTCTTTAAATCAAAAAGGGAATTTAATACAACAGGAGCATCCCTTTCAGGCATCATTTTTAAAGAGAAAATGCCCATGTGAGAGGAAAATTCTCTACACAGCTAGGAATACGCAGCAAACCAAGCCAAGGGGACTGGTCAACTTGGAGGTCTTCCAACTTCCAGCTTCTCTCCACTGATAAAACTAGGAAGCCCAGGCAAGATGCTCACGGATACTGGCCTGTTTCGGGGGATTCCTCTTCCTAAAACACCATGTTCCTTGGGAGATATTCTGCCATCCTGTGAGAGGAGAGACCCGGGGAAGCTCTGAGACCCTCCCTCACCTGGCCAGTAGAAACCCCCACGCGGGACAAGCGCCACGAGGCCAGCCCACCTTTCTTCCCTCTCAGCTCGGCCACGGCCCCCCTCAAGAGCCTCTCCTCCCAAGGCTAGGCTAGGAGAGAAGCAGCAGCAGCAAAATGGAGGCAACCGAGAGCAGCGTCCAGGCGGCCACAGGGGCCGTCCCGCCCTCCGCGGGCTTCCTCGGGTAAGGCGCCTCGCCACCCGCGACGGCGGCCATGTCGTCGAAGTAATTTCTGGTGGGCTGGCTGGGCTCCTCCTCGTAGTCGTCTTCGTAGTAGTCGTCTAAGACGCCGTCCGAGGCGCCGCTGCTGCCAGGCCCCAGCGCCTCGGCCCCGAAGCACAAGCGAGCCATGTTCTCCTTGACCGACTCGCAGATGGGCCGCTCCAGCCCGTCGCAGACGCAGTCGTTGAGCAGCAGCGCCTTGGGCACGACCAGCATGTCTTTAATGACGTCCCGGCACTCCTGGGTGCACCGGACGCCGTTGAAGAGCTTGCCGCAGTACATCATGTAGCGGTTGAGAGCCACGCTGCACCGGGTGTCCCACTCGCAGCGCCGCCGCGCCTCCGTGCAGCCGATCATGCCGCCGCCCGCTCCCCCCACACCGCCGCTGGTCCGAGGCAAGCACGGCTCGATAGCGCGCTTGGTGGCGCGGCACTTCTCGTCCTGGTCGCAGTCGCAGTCCTCCAGCGCCGGGCCCCGCCTGGTGTGGTTGAGCTGGATGAGCGCCGAAATGCAATGGCTCGGGCACCGCCGCCTATTGGAGGAGGACGCCGCCGCAGAGGCGGCAAAGCCGTCCCCCTCGGCCACGAGCACCGACGCGCACGCTTCGGCATACTGGCTGTAAGCGTAGCCGCAGTCCGGCTCTTCTTGGCACTGCAGCATCGCCTGCCAGCAGATCAGGCGCCGGCCGTGAACCCCCGGCGGAGGCGAGGCGGCGCCCAGCAGCAGCAGCAGAAGCCTCAGCCCCAAGGCGGCCAGGCGCGGGAGCAGCGCGGTCCGTAGGCACCGTCCTCCTCCCCGCCAGGCTGCCACCATCGCGGGCGGCCGCAGGGCAATCGTGGTCGGGAAGCGAGCGCGGAGGGAGCGGCGGCCCAGCGGCTGCCGAGAGTAGAAAAGTTTGGGGAAGTTCTGCCGAGGGTGCGCATGGGGGTCTCCCTCATCAATCCATCCTCCCGGCGCCCGTCCGCGGCCTGGGAATCTTCCTTCGGGAACGGTTTTTCAGAAAAGCGGCGCCTTCTCCTTTTTGCAGCCCAACAGCCTCCGCCCCTTACTCCCGAGATGGAGAGGCCGGGAGGCGGCGAAAGAAGCCTGGAGCAGCGGGGTGATGGGCTCCCTGCTGAGTCGGAGCGGCGGCTTCCCTCCTTCTCATGCCGATCTTCTTTCTTGGAGCTCAGCGCATCTCTTTCACATGCCGAGCGGCCGCGCTGAACTTTTCCCGAGCCCCAGTCGGGCTCCGGAGGCGCGTTGTGCCGCTGTGGGAACAAGAGGAGGCAGCCGGACTCACCGCGGGTCCCCGAGCTCTCCCCTTTTCGACTTCCCGCGATCCGCCGTTTCTTCCTCTCTTTGCCGACACTTTTGAGGAGCTGTTTTCTTTCGCGAGGCTTTAAATACAAAAGTGCCCTCCACGCAGCGGTGGCGGCGGCGGCGGCGGCAGCAGCGTGTTCTGATCCGGCCTCATTATGCATGCATGGAAAAGCAAACAAACAAAAAAAATTAGCAACGCTTCTCCTCCTTATTACACATCCCCCCTTGGCTGGAGCCCTCCGACTGATTCGCTCTTTCTCCTCTTCTCCACTCCCCCTCCGGTCGCTCCGCCCCTTTCCCCCGCTACGCGACCCGCCATTGGTCGGGCCGCTGTTGACACGCCCCTTTCCCCTTTTCTTTCTTTACGATCTCTAGGAAAGAAGGGGAGGGCGAGAGCTCTGGGGGGGGGGGGGCTAGTGGGCTGCTCACATTCAAAGCTTGAAAGGAAAGGCTTAAAAAGATTGACAGTAGCCCCCCGAGGAACCCACCCACCCTCCTCCTTTTAAGGAAGTTCCTCCACGCCGCTTTTTACGGAGGGCAAAAAATGCAGAAAGGCGAAAGTTAGCGGCTGCTCTCCCATTAACGCCTGTTAGGGCGCTTTAAGCTAAAAGGGACTTGGGAAAGATAAATGAAAGTTTCCAACGCTCATCATCATAATAAAGAGTCGCGCACTTGTTTCACTTTGAGTACTTCCAGAGAGGTGGATCTGCCCAACGGGGTTGAAAGTGTAAGTTGCTCTGTGGGGATCCGGGAGGCCCCGTTAATAAGACACATTCGGGGTCAGGATCTACACCCCCCCGTCCCGCCGATCTCTCCTGACGTAGGAGCGGTCCCCCTAAAACTTTCACTGAACTTTCACTTAAGACCATCGAAGTCCATGACCAGCCACCCCTTCTGTTGCCTTCTGTTTCTCAGGTTTGAACTCTTAAATCTGTATGAACCCAGGGAGAAAAAGTATAGGAGTGACTTAGCTAAGAAGAATGGATTTTGTATATAAGAGGAGGCGAGTCTGAACGAGGTTCATAATGATTCCTGGGGGGAAACGATGCAGTTTTAAAAGTGTCCATTTTGAAAGGCGGAAAGCAAAGAATGGGACGTGTGGAGGGTTTAAGAACACATACGCGGAGTTTGACATAATGGTTAAGGTCAGTGGTGAAATCCAAATTTTGTTACTACCGATTCTGTGGGTGTGGTGTGGCTTGGTGGGCGTGGCTTGGTGGGCGTGGCAGGGGAAGGATACTGCAAAATCTCCATTCCTTCCCCACTCCTGGAGGAAAGATATTGCAAAATCTCCATTCTCACCGCATTCTGGGGCCAGGCAGAGGTGGTATTTGCCACCTCTCCGAACTGCTCAAAATTTCCCGCTACCAGTTCTCCAGTACCTGTCAGAATCTGCTGGATTTCACCCCTGGTTAAGGTACCACGCTCAAATCAGAAACTGTTACTTTGGCCTTAGGCATGAAAAACTGGGTTGGGTGACTTTGGGTCAGTCACTCACTCTGAGCCCAACCCACCTTACACAGTCGTTGTGGGGAAAATAGGAGGTGGAAGGAATGTTGGGTGTGTTTGCTACCCTTTTATACAAAGTAATAAAGGCAGGATTTTAAAAAAATCAAATAAATATATATCCATCCTATGAACTCACATTAGTACATGTTATAAGAACAAGAGGTTAGTAAACATGAAGGGGAGTTGTGGTTGGGAGAGAAAATTGGTATCCTTCAGCTTTGCTGATGGTACATCTTGAGTGTGTGTGTGTGTGTGTGTGTGTTTCTTTTGGTGCTACCTTAAATTTTACTGTTGCAAATATCTTTTGACCGCAAGGGGCATCAGTGTCTGCTGACTGTCAAGAGGCGCCTTTGCGGCTTTTTACAGGAACGGAGCAGCTCCATCTGTCAAAAAAATCACGGCTAAAGCTATTTTCCAGAACCAAAGGGAGCCTGAATTTGTGGGATACAAGTTGTCTTAAAATTTCAAGTTAGTATAGACATATCCTACAATTAGGAGTCCATATGACAGAATCTGTTTCAAAAGTAATCCCAATGAGCAAACTATTCTCTCTGAATCTGTTTTCACGTTTAAGAAACAATCTCACAAACATTTTTCTCTGTGCCCCACCCCCTACCCCAGGGGCTCATTTTACCCAAGGCCCAATGTTTTAGGGTCTGGAATTTGATTTGGGAGACATCAGCCTGTCCTCATTTACTTGGGAGAAAATCTCCCCAGAACTCAATCTGGTTTTCTTTCAAACAGCCTTTTTGTATACAGTAATATTTATTGCAGAGCATCACATAACAGTTTTCCTGTTTCTACTGCAGAGCAGTATTACAACTCCAAGTGAAGTACTGTATCAGGGGCGCTATTCAGCAGGTTCTGACAGATTCTGGAGAACTGGTAGCGGAAATTTTGAGTAGTTCAGAGAACCGGCAAATGCCACTTCTGGCTGGCCCCAGAGTAGGGTGGAAATGGAGATTTTGCAATATCCTTACCCCAGGAGTGGGATGGGAATGGAGATTTTGTAGTATTCCCCTACCACCAAGCCACACCAAGCCACGCCCACAGAACCGGTAGTAAAAAAATTGAATTCCACCACTGTACTGTATGCTCTTCAAAGGAGCTGAAAACTGTATGTAACCTCTGCATTTTTACTTCACAACAGGAGGTTGTGAGTTGACTTGGTTTCCGTAGGCCACCATTCTAGTTAAAATGACAGCTTGAATTGTGTCTTTCTTGAACTTAGACTGGCAAAAGTGTGACCTTCCCATAGTTGTCTAGTCTCTGACTTAGTTCATGTGAGAGTACTCTGCTTTGGGCTCAACTTGTTGGTTATAGGACACTGGCACTTTTAAGCTAGATCTCTGCTATGCTGTTATGTACATTGGCTTTTCTGACCACAGCATAACACTCTTCACAATTTTTTGTGTACTTGATTACAAAGTTCAAAGAGGTGTCTGCGATTCAGATTCTGGCTTTCGACTCCAACTCCAGCTTGTCCTAATTTTGCCATCTCTGAAATATTAAAAAAAGGAAATTTGTACAACAATTTAAAATGTTATGTGAATTATAAGTACAGCAGCACCATGTTTAAACCTGCAAAAACCAGGATTAGTGACCTAACTAAAACACAAGAAATATAATTACCTACATTCATATCCATTAATTAGCAGTTCATCCACTTAGGTAGAAACCACTTATTGTATAATGTCAATAGTTCATCCAGCTGGATTAAATGTTAGAATTCCTGCCAATTTTCATTTAATTGGAAAAGAGATTATGTTGAATGATAAGATTTAGTTCATGAGCAGTTTCAATTCATGCCTGCACAATTTATGATATGTCAAGTCAACAAAGTCCACCAGTTGGGTTTGTAACCAAGGATAAGCGCTTGGTAACGTCCTGTGACTCTAAAACAATAGAATTGCCAACCATTTCCCAAGGCATCACACACAGTAGGCAAACTGGACTCCATCTTTCTGAGAAAATGGATTGTGTTAGCTTAGTCAGTGTTACTGATTTAAAAAGGCAAAGATGTCCTCCAGCTGAGTTCCTGGTTTACATGTACAGTACATGACTGTATTGTTTTCTGACCTCCCCCTTTTTCCAGAGTATGTTTTGTTGTGGGAACCTTTGGTGGTCTTCTATTCAAGTGTTGAATCAAGTCTGATCCTGCAGAGTTCCAAGTCCAGATGTGGTTAGTCCCGTGACATTGATTAGGACTATGCAGAGATCCATATCAGAGGCAAAATATACCAAGAACAATTTAAACCAAACATCGTTTTTTCCCCTCAAAGATCTCATGAAAACTATAGAGGAGAGCTGTTTGATGCCACCTAGGTCAGTGGTGTCAAACTTGTGTCGTCACGGCGGCATCACGTGATGTACCACGACTTTTTTCCTTTGCTAAACCAGGCATGTGTGTGGGTATGGCCAGTGTGTGACACATCTGGCCCGCGGGCCGTGAGTTTGACACCTAGGTGCTTTGACAGGTGTTACATATCTGTGGACAGCAATCGGATCCTGACAGGTGTTATGCCTGAGTTACCAGCAAACAAGAGCTGCGTGAATGGCCACTATTAACAACTGAGATTGCTGTTGGCACTTCTGCTACCTCTCCCCAATCATAAGAGTATTTATCCTTCCAACACATCTAATGTACAATAGTAAACTGTTATTCACAGACACTAATGCTACAATATATTTTTTTTAGTCACCAAGGAGCCAGAATTTTTTTTTTTGATGTTTGAATTTGTAAAGAAGTACGTGACCATTGTGCTGTCCTGTAAAGTACATGACGGTTTTTCTGTAAACCTTGACTTGTTATGCGAAAAAGAAATGAGAAAAATCCTTTTAAAGTAATATTTTGGTACATTCCAATCATTTCCCACCAATTCCAAAGATAAGATTACGTCTTGATATTTTATTGCAGTCATAAGAAGAGAAATCCTAGAGAACAGTGTGTTAACATTATACCTTTTGCAAACTCTCTTTAGACTTCTTTGTGGTCTGTGGCTCTCATATCTTTATAAAATATCATATTTGCTTCTTTGGCTGACTTCTGAAAACGAGATTGTTATTTATATCAAATGTAAGTTTTAGAGAGGGTATTTACCCCATGTATGGTAAACAGAGTGATATTGCTCAATTCATACTGGACTTGGGCTTTATAAACTTCTGCACAATGTAAACTGCAAAGCAGACCACACATGTTGCTAAAACAAAGCTACAAACAGAATAAAAGTCAAATATTCTTTAACTATTAATGTAACTGTTCCAAGGGATACACATAAAAAATCATCCATTCAGCAAGCCGTGTAGCAGAAAAATGGAAGACGAATCCTTTGTTCAAGCAGACCAGCCATTTCAACTACAACTTCAATTATAGGCTGTATTTCTTCATATCCCACAGTAGATGACGGCGCTAGTCAACCTGTTTTGGGATCAGGGAAAATATCTGGATTTTGAGATGTGCTCATAACATATCATCCATGAGGAGTGCCAATTAATTGAATATACTAGAGCAGTGATGGCTAACCTTTTCTGGACTGAGTGCCCAAATGCATATGCCCGAACCTCCAAAATGCAATGCATGTGTGACCCCCGCATGTGCCCCACCCCCACACATGCGCACGTGCCCCTGCATGCGGCCTGCCCCCTGTGCAAGCACATGCGCCCTCCCTCATGCACCCCACCCCCATGCATGCGAGCACAGCGCCCCGCACATGCCCCGCCTCCCCTCGCATGCGTGGCAGAAACCCGAAGACCAGAGGGCCGGGGGGAGGCGCCCACGCATGCGTGGCATATCTGAACTGGGGCGATGGCTTGTGTGCCATCAGAGAGGCCACTGCGTGCCACTTCTGGCACACGTACCAAAGATTTGCCATCACAGTACTAGAGATTCAAATAATGAGGTTATTCTGTGTCAGCCATGTAATCACCAGAATGATCTCTACGAAAAAATTGTTTGCCTTTTTTTTTCTCCCTAGCAGAAAACATTTCCAAACAAAATACCAGGCTAGAACAATCTGTTATTTTTATTTTCTAAAATTGTTGATGGGGCCTAGAGGCATCTTAAACACAAAAGTGGCTGCTTTGCTTGGGCTTATGCTATTTATCTTCTGTTTTGTTTCGTTTTTAAATTAAAAGAACATTAAGAAAAGTAAGTTAAACAGGCAGGAAATTGGTGGGTGCGCATTTGTGCCCATAAACATCACTGTGCTCTCCTCTGATATAAACAAATAGCTTTTAGCAAGTTTTTAATAATATAATTTCTAGATCTAGTATTCTTTTATGATTCAGGAGCCCTGATGGTGCAGTGGTCATGATGCAGTATTGCAGGCTAACTCTGCCCACAGCAAGGAGTTCGATCCCGACTGGTTCAAGCTTGACTCAGCTTTCCATCCTTCCAAGGTTGGTAAAATGAGGACCCAGATTGTTGGGGGCAACATGCAAATAATACTGACACTGTAAATAGCTCAGAGTGCTGTAAAGCATTATGGAGCGATATATAAAAAGTCTAAGTGCTATTGCTATTCAGCAGCACACATTTTCTGACTTCCAGAGTAAATGACAAGGAGAAAGAAGTCAGCATCAAACTGTGATGCTAGAAAGTGAAAGTAAATTAATTTCAGCTGGAATTATGAGAGTGTCTGGGGCCCCCTTCATCCCATATGCATGTTCTCTCCTGTGAAGTCTACTGTTACAAAGGCTTGTTGTGACATCAGTATGCTTCTTTTAGTAATTGAAATATGGTTTGTAAATTGAATATTTTTTATTTTGTATTTTTCATTACCTTTCATATATCTATTTATTTCTGCCTTCCCCAGCCTGGTGCCTTCCAGGTATTCCTGCAAAGGATAGTCTTAAAGTAGCAAATGGAAATCACTGTCCATTGTTATACCAGCAATGGACCTTCCATTATTATTAGTAAAGTGTGGTATAAAAAACAAAGTTGAATTCTAATATCATCTCACTCTGGTTTCTATAAAGAGTAATTCATTATTTCAGCAGCCTATGAGCTCAGTTAAATAAATAAGTAAATAAGAATTACTGTCCAACTCCTTCATCTTGTAAACTATGTTGCTACTAGCTAAGAATTATACCTAATAGAAATACTAAGTCTAGCCCGATTTGTTGGAAGTGCAAAAAGGCACAAGGGACTTTCTATCATTTATGGTGGACTTGCCCGGCAGCAAAGAAATTTTGGTCTAACATCAAAAAATGGTTGGAACAAATAACAAAAACATAGATTGAAAAAGAACCAGAAACATTTCTATTAGGAATCTTTAACAAATCATACCCTAAGGATATCAAATATCTCACAATTCACATATTAACTGCTGCAAGAATAACCTACGCAAAAAATTGGAAGCAAGAAAAAACACCAAGTGAAACAGAAGTAATAGGAAAAATTTTAGAATGTGCTGAAATGAATAGGTTAACCAAAGAATTACAAGAAAGAGAAGAATCAGATTATTACAAAATATGGAATAATTGGTATAATTGGTTAAAAATCAGAAATACACAAAAAATATAGGGAAATATTACCGATTTAAATATATATATATATATATAATAAAAAATGTTATTAAATTAAGGAGAGGTGAAGGAATATATCATAAGTAGAATTGTAGAATGTCACTCTGGAAAAATGCTTAAGAAGAAATTATACTCTTTTTGTGTATATGTTGTATAAATGTTTGTTGTGTATATGTTACGTATGTCTTTTTTAATATTTATATTCAATAAAAATTATTTTAAAAAAAAGAAATACTAAGTCTAAATAAAATTTGCTATAGAATTGTACTAGCAGTAGTTTTTATTTTATTGTTGGAAAGTATTTCTTTAGCAATATTTAGTTCCATAAGAACTCTGAAAAATAGATTTAGCAGAAAAATATATTTTGATCTTTGATTTTGATATATTTAAGATTAACTCTGGATGATTTCCAATTGAATTGCTGGTGTTCAAGCCCAACCTCTTGCTTACATTACTGTATAGCCTCTGGAGGTGAGAACTTCCAGAATGGTTGAACTCTGATGAGAATACTGTGAGTTGTAGCCTCCCACCTCCCACTCAAAATCTGAAAGGCACCATGTTGGAGAAGGCTGAAGATAAATGTTCGCTTCAACCTCAGGTTAGTTAGTATGGAGTAGAGTATTTAAATTGTGTAATTTTTTGTCTCTGGGCAAAATATAAACCCCAAACTCAGACCTTCTGAATCATTTTCACCTTAACTTTGCAGCAACAGCATAACTACCAATCAGCACACTTTTAAATACTTTGCATATATGCCACTATGCCAGATAAAACCCGAGGATGTACCCTCATGACTGTTAAGGAAAATCTGACTGCAGAACATTGTAATGTTGGTCTGACAATCCGCTAGGAATGATGAGTTCTTTATTTCATCTTTTCTGCCCGGTAGGAGTTTTAGAAGTGTTAAGATTAAGAGGACATGAAATTGCAGTGTGGTAGGACATGGCCTACATCCTCTATTACATGAGTCTGAGGAGCGGTTGTAGAGGAGGTTCAACTTCCATTACAATTAAAACAAGTCTTCAGCATCCATTGGTGAATCATTCCAATGACCAGGAAGAAGAGTAGGGCTTTTCATGACACAACCAAAAAGAGGTTTTAGATTCATTCTAATTCCTTATTTCATCCAAGGGATTATGCAGATTTTTGTAGGCCGAATTTGGTAGCATTTGTTGCTGAAGAAGGTATCTGCTCATAGTTCTCCCTCACCGATGTATTAATGTGCCTCGTGCCATTCCTGTATTGAAAGGAAAGTATGCCAACCAACATTTCTGTCTGCTATAGCAGAGCTTTTACTGCGCTTTTGCAGTGAGGCTGGGCAGCATTGCTCCCTTTGCAAATTTCATGTGGACCAGTTTCAGGCTGGTTTCTTTTCACATCCCGCTCAGTGTCATCTATCAGCACAAAAAACAATCATTGATCATTCTCCAGAATATGTGGTAGGCCAGGGTTTAAGGACACTGGGTGGGTCTTTCTTTTCTCTGTCCTGAAGCCAATTTCCCCTGTGAATGGTTTTTGGTCGGACAAAGAGCCTCTTCTCTCTCCCGTGCCCCATTCTATACTTATATGTGTATGCTTTCTGTACTTTACAATATTACCAGTACACATACACATGCACACACACGTACCAAGTAGCATCAGTGCAGCAGCAGCAATACCACCCAATGAAAAACATTCAAACTTTACTAGAATATCAATATTCCCATATTAATGGGGGAGGGGGAGGGAGGTTTCCCAGCTCACTGGACTTGCTAGGAAATCAATACTCTAGTGTGAAAAAGAGAACTAAGACCAAATGTTCTTTCTTTGCAGGCTAATCCAAAATGACCATAGAGGACAGAGTCATAACTGGATGGCAAGGATGTGTGAGTAACAACAACCTCAAACAACCAAGTGGAGTTGGCAGATCCCATGCCGATTAAGCCATCATAAGCATTGCCACTGAGGCACCATAGTGAGTCTAGATGGTGAGTTTTGTGTTGGGAGGGGATGGAAAATATTATTTTCACACTAGAACAACTAAAGATAATTTCAGTGGGCTGAGAATGAGGAGGAGGCAACATCTTCAGGACAGAACCTTAAAAAGTATGGAAACCATCTTCATGTTGGAGTAAATAGGATGCAAGGATTTGCTCTCAAGGTATCCTGGACTAAAAACATGCAGAACTTCAGTGATACTAATTCAATGTGTTGTTATCTGAAATGCTCAATTGACAGCTAGTCTAATATTTTTATCATGGGGAAATACCACCACTGAATGCATCCAGAAACCATCTTGATCACTGAATTGAGAAAGTATGCCTGAATCCGAGAACTTTAAAATGTTGCTGAGCTCATCTGAGACGTGGGAATTGCTTGCTCAAAGAAAGCCCAAATATTGGAAAAGAACCTCTGGTGATGGAAGCCTTGTGGGTCTCTGTAGGAAAGCGGGTATGAACTTGGCACAGAAAAAAAAACACCTCTCACTGGGTAATACAACCCTTCAAGAAGTAAATAGGGACGGTTATTGGAAAGTTAGTTGTCTGGCTCCAAGAGAACCCTTAGAAAAATTCCCCGGAGGGCCTCTGAAGCTGCACACTTGTCAATGGGATTTGTGTTAACAACTTGACCCAACTTGAATAATAGAAACATATAGCTAGAGAGTAGATGCATCCTTCGAACATCTTTTAGGCATTAATGAAGTATTGTTTTGGCTACAAAAGTTTGGCAGGTTTTTTTGCAGCTGGATCTGGGAACAAAAACATATAACAGTTATGAAAACTCAAGATAATTTGATTTTTTTTTCACACTTCCTGAATTTTATTTTTAACCCATTAGATTGTTTTAGAAGTAATAGCCTACTATCAGTTCAGAGATATATAATTTATTCCTGACCAAAATATCCTTATTGATGGTTAATGTGAGAAAGAGATTCTAGTTCTATTTTTCTATGGATGTTAATCCAAGACCTAGAAATAGGCTTGGGAGCAAATTGACAAGCCGGCTTTTACCAAAGAGGTGTGTTATTTTCATGGTAGAATGCAACTCAAAAGCAATCCCTCCCTGAATTGCAATAATCCACTCTTGAGATTACCAGCAGATGGATCACTCTGTCCTGATCAACATAAACAAGTCTTAATGATAATGATCACTCTACAAGTTTTCCCAGTATATGCTGAGATTAGTGCTCCCAGTGTATGCCCATATATTCTCAGAGGGATTACAATCCCATCCAGAGCAGACAACTCCCGAATTCAGAGACTCTCACCCAGTGGTGGGATTCAGCCGGTTCTCTCTGGATCGGGCAAATCAGTAGCGGCAATTGTAGGAGGCTCTGCCCACCCACTCGGGTGTAATGCGCAAGCACTGCACATTTGCAGAAGGCCATACGTATGCGCAGATGAGGCACGCGCGCTCACATTTGCAAACCGGTAGGGAAGGTAAGTGAATCCCACCGCTGCTCTCATCCTACGGTCCATGGACCCCTGGGGGTCCATGCTGTCATCACAGGAATCTGCGAAGTCTTGGAGAAATGTTATGATTTAAATCTTGAATTAAGCCTTGAGGGTCTGTGTCCACAAAAGGTATTTAAAGGGGGTTCATGGTGAAGAAAAAGTTGAGAAACTAATTGCCTAATTCATTGTTTCCAGTGCTTTTCTCTTGTCAGGATTCGTCTTAGTTTAGTTTATTGTCCTTCCTCGACAGATAACTCTCCCACCTCATCCAGGCTCAGATCATGGGGCTTTAGACTCAATTGTCATAGGGCCAAGATAGAGCCACCTAACACTCTGACAATAGGCCTCATATAAGAAAAGAAACACTGTAACACTCTGTCTGAACTTGGAGTGATAGAAACCAGTTCCGAATTATACTGTAAGCAAGACTTTCAGAAGCTCCTGAGACTATGAAGAAACTCAACAAGGATATCTTCAAGCTGATTCAGTCTCCCAAGTGGTCAGAATCTGGAATGGAATGGCTTCGGACAAATCCACTTCTTCTAAGAGCATCTGAAGCTGCATGGAGTTAAAACACATTTTTCCATCTCTAGTGGCAAAATATTTTGGATTAGTCATAATTATATTGGAGGTTTATGGAGTTTGTCACCAAGCCAAGTCCTATTAAAATACATTTTTTTGTGCATGTAAAATATACTGTTTCTAATTTGGTATTTTATGAGTATATTTTCAAAATCACAATGGGGTTATAGACTAGTTTTAGTTGTTCAAGAGAATAATAATCCTGAGTCCTGAGACAATTTTTCTCATGCTACCAATGAAAAGGTTTGTCATGATTCTAATACAGGCAGTCCTTGACTTATGACCACAACTGAGTGTGAAATTTACATTGCTAAGCAAGGCAGTGAGTTGCACCTCATTTTACGACCTTTTTGTCACAGTTCTTAAGCAAATCACTTGCAGTTATTAAATGAACCATTGGCATCCTTCAGTCTCAAGAGACTATGATATCGTGCTCTGGAAAGAGGTCCTAAAAAAGCATCTAGTATGACTAAAAAGGCCAATTTGAGAGTGGCAATCCCTTCCATACTGAGGGCAGATACATTCTGTCCCCTGCCCAGCCCCCAGATTTCGTTGGTTCTGGGACTGCCTCTTTGCCTCAGCCTGCTGAACAAGTGTCTCTTCGAATTGGAGAAGGCCATGCTGCGTCTTTAGCCTCCAAGCTGAACGATCGGAGGTCAAGTTTTCCCAGTTGTTAATGTCCATTCCCAGGGCCTTTAGGTCCCTCTTGCAGATATCCTTATATCGTAGCTGTGGTCTCCCTCTGAGGTGCTTTCCCTGCACTAATTCTCCATACAGGAGATCTTTCGGAATCCAACCATCAACATTCTCACGACATGCTCCAGCCAACGTAGACGTCGCTGTTTCAATAGTGTATACATGCTAGAAATTCCAGCATTTTCCAAGACTGCGCTATTTGGAACTTTATCCTGCCAGGTGATGCTAAGAATTCGTCGGAGGCAGCGCATATGAAAGGTGTTCAACTTTCTCTCCTGCCATGCGTAGAGGATCCAAGACTCACTGCAGTACAAGAGTGTGCTTAGGACGCAGGCTCTATAGAACTGGATCTTTGTATGTCATTAAATGCAGTCATTAAATTAATCTGGCTTCCCCCATGGACGTTGCTTTTTAGAAGTTAGCTAGAAAAGTTACAAATGATGATCACATGATCCTGACCAGTACAATTATCATAAATAAATGCCAGTTGCCAAGTGCCCAAATTTTGATGATGTGACCATGGGGATGCTGCAATGGTTGTAAGTGTGAAAACTGGTCATAGGTCACGTTTTTCAATTTGAACTGTCAGTTGACAGTTGTTTGAACTGTCACTAAACAAATGATTGTAAGCCGAAGACTACCTGTAATAACAAATGGAAAGCATCCTCAGGTTGTTCCAGAAATCAGCTCAAGGCTGTATTTTGTATCTTGGGAAGGGAGTTAAAATTTGTTAAAGGTGATGGCAAATGGATTAAATAGCATTGTTAGGGAAAGATCAGGGATGAAATCAAGCAGGTTCTGATAGGTTCTGGAGAACCGATAGTGGAAATTTTGAGTAGTTCGGAGAACCGGTAGCGGAAATTTTGAATAGGAAATTTGAATAGTTCAGAGAACCTGCAAATACCACCTCTGGCTGGTCCCAGAGTGGAGTGGGAATGGTGATTTTGCAATATCCTTTCCCCAAGAATGGGGAGGGAATGGGGATTTTGCAGTAACCTTCCCCTGCCACCCACCAAACCACGCCCACCAAGCCACACCCACAGAACCAGTAGTAAAAAATTTGGATTTCACCACTGGGAAAGATGTACTGATGTAAGATTCTCAGTCATCCACATAACATTGAAAGTTGAGTCATGACAACTGGACTTATGAGCCACGGTGGCGCAGTGGTTAGAGTGCAGTACTGCAGGCTACTTCTGCTGATTGTCGGCTGACTGCAATTTGGCAGTTCATACCCAAATTGTTGGGGGCAATATGCTGACTCTGTAAACCACTTAGAGAGGGCTGTAAAGCACTGTAAAGTGGTATATAAATGCTATTGCTATTTTCTTGTTAGTTTGAGACGTTTCGCTGCTCATCCAAGCAGCTTCATCAGTCCCAGCAAGTTAATTATGAAACTATCTGATGAAGCGGTGAAATAATCTCAAACCAACAAGAAAATAAGTCCGATTGTCATGACTCAACTTTCAGGTGATTGTTAGGGAAACTTGGGTCCTTTGTGCAATACCTCATAAGAGAATGCAAGAAGAAAGATCCTAAATGTAGCTGAGCAGAGCATGTTTTATTCATGTAGATAGTTTAAAATATCACTTGGAAAAGGGCCTCAGATAAAAAGGGCAGTAGCTCAGATGAATAGGAAATGCTGCGCCCGAAGGTGAAATCCTTCGAATAGTGGTTTCTTCATAAAATTCATGCCTAAAGCGATACTGTCTTTAGCCTGTTATATATATTGCATTTCATGACTAGACTTTCAAATTGAATTCACTGCCATCATCTCCTACTACAGAACATCTTGAAAAAATCAAGCTACAAATAATGCCTGTTTTTTAAAGGTCAAAGAATCCAGAGAGAGAGTTGGGGGGGAAAGTGGAAAAGACTACATTTGGAAAGAAATATTCAGGAAGTCCTGAATATTTATTTACTGATATCATCTTCAGAGCCCAAGGGTATTTCAGAGCACAGGCTGCCACAGTTTTTATTTTTTATTTTAATAAAACCGAGTTTTATTTCTTATGTATCAATCGACAAAATACCCCCTAGACCATGCCACCCAAATAATGTGCTCTTTTATCTGAATTTTGCATTTCATAGATGGCCTTTCTCAAAAGAACTTTTGCAATATTTCTAGGGAAAGTTATATCAGAAGTTGATCCAAATTAATTAATGTATCATTTCAAGAAGTTACACCATGTCATTTGGGTTTAGTAATGTGGTGCAATATTGTGTTTGTAAATATTCCAGGGCAGGAGTAGGCAGGACATAGTTTTGGAATTACTAGTTGATTTCTGAGAGATTTATTGTAAGAATACTGACTCACATTGGTTGTGTTTGCTTGTTTGTGATATTTGGAAACTGCTCCAACTGTAGGACTTTAATAGGGTACAAGAAAGATGCATTCCAACAAGTCCATATGCACATTACAGATTATATGCTTATTCCACATATAGTTAGTATTTTCCACTATGACCATAGGCCAGACACTGCCTCTGAACTTTAGAGTCATTCTCTGCAATACACCAGCTAGAAAACAAAACTCTTCAATGCATTGTGCATTAATAGCTTTACTGAACTCGGCAAATACAATGACAAATGCTAAGAAAAATAACCACTTCACTGTGGTTGCCCTTTTCTTTTCACATTCTACTGTGTTGTACCCAGAATCATTTATCTTATTATGTACTTAAGCCTTGGAGTAACATCAGTGGATTTCTATTACGAAGGCCAAATATAGTGAAATAATTAAAATGCTGCAATTAGGGTCAGGTTAAATTCCCATTGACCTCTAAAGTCATTGGATGGCTTTGGGCAGTCACTTTTTCTTAATCTGACCTATTTCATAGAAGTGTTGAAGGATAAGATGTACATATCTAATCTTCTGGACAGACTGATTGCTTCACTTCAAAACTGAAATTTGGAAGATAATCTGTAATAAGAATTGTTGTGGAATGGACTGATTACAGCAAGAGCATAGAACAAGAACATGCTTTTTTAAAAAATCTGCAGACTGTGACACATGTTCTTAATGAATTCCTCTGAATAATGATGGAAATAAACTCTAAGGATAAATGAAATAAATTTCTTTATATATTTCATTTACCATACACTAAAACACATCTGGGCTCAAACAACACAGAAGTGGAAATCCATACATCCTGCTTGTTGCATTGCAAAGACACCCCCAGTAATCATTTATAGAGGGTACGTCTTCCTATGTTGTCTTCTGTTTTCCTGCCACTCTGTTGTTAAAGCAATCTGCTTAAGATGTTCCAATATGGGAGTGGTGATTTCTCTCTTGTCTTAACACAAGATCTCCTATACCAATGTTTCTTAAGTTCAGCAACCTTGAGATATCAGGACTTTAATTCCCAGAATTCCTCAGCCAGCATGGTTGGCTGGGGAATTCTGGGATTAGAAGTCCACACATCTTAAAGTTGCTGAGGCTGAGAAACATGATCCTATACAGACAGTTTACGGAGTTTATGGACAATTTATGGAGCACGAACCTTGCAATGATGAAGACTGGGTCAGCAATCCGTTCACCTGGTTTGTTGCAGGACTACTTCCTTCCATTCAGCTGTTGGAGAATAGGCCTCTTTTGCTATTTTGGCTGCACGAGAGACAATTCAAACATGTGAAGGCTGCATATGCTGTACTCTAAAGGGAATATTGACCTTTTGAATCTACAGAATGGACACAGAATGAGAAAGAATTTTTTTTAAAACCACCTCATTATTTAAGGCCCCTTTCTTTCTCACACTAAATCTTCGGCTGTTTGACAACATTTATCTACAGCTAGATCTGGTCTGCACAAATTTAGACAATCAAGAGATGGCAAGTAAGAGAGACCAAAAACTCTAATCTGCCATCTAGTGATTCCTAGGTCAAAATTGGTAAAAATTGATTGGATTGAGACCTTGCAACACGTACAGATTGACACATGTTCTGTACTGGTGGGGACAGTTCCTGTATCTGCCATGACAAGTAGACTCCTTGCTAGTCGTTGTTAGCTAGAAAGAATGCTTTGTGATAAGAATTGACTTTGGATGCTAGATCCAAGTCAACATAATCTCTCTCTGGTATAAAGGAGAGATTTCTGAAATTATCCATGTAACTCTTGATAGCTGTTCCTTATGAGTAGATCACAGAAATGGTGATTTATATGGTTGGTTTATGACTAAACTGACTGAGAATCCGGATTTACATCAAGCACCAACTTGCAAAGCAGCCTTAATGGACGCTACACTTCACCAAGCCTTATATCTTAATCACTTTTTAAATTTTTTTAATACTTTGCATATTACAGTAGAAAGATTAAGACCTTTTCAACAGGCAAAGTTCTACTGTACTCATTGGCTGAGTTTCTCTCTCCTGAAAAGATAATATTATAAATTTTATATTGAAAATTATTTAAAAATATATGTTTTCTTGGACAATGAAACAAAAAGGTGATTAGTATATGGATTTTGGAAAGTTAATAATGGATTAAGGGGCCAGGGGGATTTGGAATTATAGCTTTGAATTATTTAGAAGATACTTTCTCATGGGAAAATGCAGATTGCTTTCTTTCTTTTTTAATGAGAAGGAAATCTTGAAGGCTGGACATTAGAACCAGAGGATAAAGAAAATGGAACAGAAATCCTTGATGCCAACTTTTGAATACCTTTCATCTAAGCTTTGGGACAGAATGGATTAGTTTTCTGGTCTGTGCCTTCTGATTTCATAATCTTGACTATACCCTGTTTCTCCCAAAATAAGACATCCCCTGATAAGCCCAATTGGGCTTTTGAGCGCATGGCAATAAGGCCAAGCACTGATTTCAGGATTCAAAAAAATATAAGACAGGATACACGGTAGTTTGAAAGCATGTTGGAGAAACCGATTTCTGCCCACTTATATTCTTTTTACCTCTTCCACAACATTAGAAGTTAGGGAACTGAGAAATTAGAAAAGCTCCCTTCTGAACTTCTGTCTCTGTCCATTATGCAGCTGTGGATGATGCCCTTTCTTATCAGACCATTCCCTAAGCAGGATCTCTACATCTATTTCTCAGGATATTTCTCACACATCATTATACAAGGCAGATCCATAGCTAATTCTGGAGAAAGTTCCCATGTGGAAGAACCCTTGTGGACTGTTAAATAAATAATAACAGCTGAAGAAAAGTGACCATATATAAGGTTGATCTCCTTTATTCAGCATGTACATGGAAACAACTGTGTCTCTACATTAGAACTTAGAATAACTTTATTGTCACTTTAAATGTACACTAATTGACATACATTAAAATGAAATTTTGTTGCATACAGCACTCAAAGGGACAAGGTATAGAGTGGAGGAAAGTATAACCACAAGTGACAAGATTGTAGAAAAGCACAAGCATACGTACCCTTTCCTTAAAAAGCCACACATTTTTGTGTGAGAGTGTTTCTATTATTATTATCTAATTTGGGCGTTGCTGCCTTCTTGTTTTATGAAGCAGGGCTCTGCTACAACATTCCAGTTCGATTTCCACACTTGGCAAATAAAATAATAGCATAATTTATGATTCTTGAAAACAAAGAAAGCAATAATATCATTCATAACTGAAGAGACATAAGCATAGATAGGTTGGGTTATAATGATTTCCTTTTTCCTGGTTCTGAGTTTGTGGTTGGGTTGGGTTGGTTCCATTGCCTGAATTCTTTAAGCTTCATCTCCAAATCTTAATTTATAAACAGATTTCACTCGTGTGGTACTTTCATACATGTGACATGTGGCAACAATTCTATATGTCATTTGTAAGAAGAATTCACTGAATTCTTACTGGGATTTATTCTTAAATAAACTCCTAAAAATTCAGATTTCACTTGATTGATAAGCTTAGTTCACAAATGCCATTCAATTCAGTGCAGCCGTACTGAGTATGTATGTTCAGTGAAGAGTGTTAGAGAATTTCTGAATTACCTTTCTGCTTGTGTATAAATATGTGTTTGTCTCTAGCTTTGAAGTCAAATGATGGCAGTTGCCTCACTGCCTTACCTTACACTTAACTAATGTATCCCATCAAGTGCATTTTTAAGACTTCTCCCACCATGTTTGCTATATAAATGAATAAATATTGGTACGGTTTCCAAAAACATATTTT